ACGGTAGGGGGGAACACGTGTGTGTTTGTTTTTGGCAGAATTTCGAATGGGGCACCCGTAGGTTTCTGCCATGCCCCGGGGGTGGGGGATGGCAGCACTTGTTCTCCGGTCACCGCGACTTGTCCGGAGAAAAATGCCGCCCGGTAGCCGAGGATCGAACCGCGACCGGCTGCGTCGCAGCGGACGCGTCAGACCACTCGGTCACCTCATCCCCCATCATAATATTATATAATTGAATTTCATGAGAAATGAAAAAAATCGTGTAATTGCGATAAAATTAAAGTAGATACATTTTAAATAGATAGTGGTATCAAAGATTCAATGTGGTTAGATAACTTCATTACTTATATGTTATACGATAAGATACATGGATCGTAGAATTAACAAGTTTGATATTTCAACACACCTTGAAGTCTTATGGATCCTTCCGCTTTACCTAAAGCGTTTTTTGCTATACACAGATAGCCACCAAAGTCCTTAGGTTCAAGGTTCGTTATGGTTAGGTCCATTTGTAATGAATATTCGTTTATGGGAGTCTCCGACATTTTGTACTTGGTGTTGGGCATGAGATCACCTCCTATTGACAAAATTTAATACAGTTAATAATAATATGATTAGCTTTTCAACAAAAATATACATTTCAATAGCTTTGATAAAAAAGATAAAAAATATTGTTTAGTTTTTTAATTATCATTAGAAATAATTTAATCCGCTTTTATGCATTTACAAAATATATTTTTGCTGTACATTCAATAATAAAACAATGAATAATATACTACAGTTCAAATAATTTATACTGAAAGAGCAAAGATTTAAATATATTTTTATGGAAAAATCCATAGTTTAGCAAATCTTAAAAAGCGATGTAGTACAATAAAACATCATAATGAGTATTTACTAATTAATAATTATTACGATAATCATTTATTTAAACTATTTAAATTGCGAAAAAATATGATTATTGTAATGTATTTTTATACATAGTCAAACAATTTTCTTGGTTAAATCTCACACAGTTTGACGCGAAACATTTTCTATGCATATAATAATGTATTATATAGTTCAATGAATAAACTAGGTACCTATATACTATATAGTCACTATATATATTTTCCTCCTATTTGAAATAACGATAATTTCAGAAATTAAACTTTGCGTTTAACAAAATTACGTTTCTCTCAAAGTTTTACATTATGTATTTTATGTTTCTATTTAATGAGCAGGCTATAAAAGGAACGAATATGGTCGTGGGATATAATGTGGAGGAGTGGTTGGAATTTATTACGGTATGAGACTTTTGAGAGAGAAAGGAGTTGAAATTATTTGGAGTAGGTACACGTAATGTAGGAGAGCAGAAGATGAGTAATGGCTTTGAAGTCACTATGAACTGTGATGTAGAGGCTATGTTAGATATAACACTTGTATTTTAAATTTTAATATTATTGTAGGTCAAAATTTCGAGGAAACATTTTCACAGCGGTTTATTTTAAAGACTTTTTTTCAGATAATTTTTCATTGCAAAAGGTAATCGAAAATGTGATACGCGCTGTTACGTCAGTGTATTCGGTTATTAGTGATTGTTTGAAGCGATAACATGTATGATAAGGATTCTCTATAATTCCTATGGCATAACATTATATTCATCTAATTTATAACTAACAATAATGAATAAATATAAAAAAAATGTTTTTGATTAAAAGTTTATTCAGTGTGTGCTTTACAAAGTTTTTGAATATTCTAATAGTATTTAAAATAAAATATAAAAATAGTTTTCCACAACGTCACATTAAATACAAAAAAAGTAAATCGAAAAAATCTCTGATCTGATATAATTAACTTAAGATTTTTCACTTTTGGACAATCCATATTTTTCATTCAAATAGTTTTAAATTTTAATATTTTTCTTTTTTTTAAACGTAGGTACGTGCTTATATTATATTGTATTATTGTAGTTTTTCCTGATTTTGGTTCTGAGAAGATTGATTAAACTAATAGTAGATGAATAATTAAAACAGCAGTATTGTGTTCTGTTAATACTAAAAGCCAATATTTTTTCTCATTGATTTATATTTCCTATATAGTATGTAACTATTTTTGAAATGTAAATAAACTTTAATCTATTATGTAAGTATTGTAAGTCTATAATCCAACTCTTCGGTTACCTAATTACAAATATGTAAAACAATTAAATATGTGACTATATAATTAGTTAGTTTATTAATATTAACTAATAGTTATGATTGTCCAAGTGAATATGGTCGGTGAACAGTGTTATGATTGTCAGATAAAAAGTTACTTAATACCTATTTATAACTCAACTACCTATATAATTAAATTGAAAATTATAACTGTACATTGTACAGTTAAATACAACTTAATATTTATGAAAAGCAAAATTGATTTTTTAGTTACAAAGATATAAATAATATCATACATAATTTAAGTTTAATTTATTGTTTTGTTAATTTCTGCCTTGTCTATATGAGATCGATGAAACTAAGAAAAACTAAACACATATATTAAGTCGTTCACAAAATTCACTCGACCCATGGTATTGAATTCATATCGTCACTTTTCTCTAATTTTACAATAAAACGAATATATGTTGCACACGCAGCCTGCAGACTTTTATACATTGTTAAAGGTGCGCTCACGAATTTCTCATTCCATACATATTGTTTTATTCTACTTACATCTTAATAAGGTCCTGTCAGTTTTATTGTGTCGGAAGAGTTATCAGATTCCAGATTCGTGGTTATAAACGTTTGAGGAGCGTATTGTATTTTTTTTTTAGTACCTATTGAATTAATGAATGGCCAAGATATTATATTAGGAACCTAATATTTATATATTACATTGTGTTGTATATACCTATGTTGATATACTTTTTTAAATGACCTACGTTCAAATGTTTTTGAATTTCATTATTATCACAATATTTAACACAACAAATTCAGGTCGAAGTGTTAAAATTGTTTCTCTCGCTCACTGGCACCCATGGAAAAAATCCAAAATAACGACTTTGATAATATGCAAAAGTCAATAGCTCAAGCTTTAGTGGTTACGATTTCTATTAAGATTCCACGATCGCATTATTGAATACAAGTTATTTTGAATAGAATTCTAGCGATGAGAGTATCTGTCAATATCAGATTCTCTCCATTATTGAGTACATTTTTTTTTATGTGCCTCGAAACGTCTATTAAATTAAAAATGTTATTTATTTTACAGAATATAATAATATATTCTACTCGTGATCTCTCGGTGACATTTGTTGGGGGCCGGATGTAAAATAAAGCAAGAAATACAAGTGATTACACAGTAAGTGAATACAAGTGAACACACAGTGATTGATATTTTTGTGCTAGGTATATTATGCAAAATTGAGGGTGAGCTATTTTTAAATATTTTAGTTATTTTTGTTGTGTTGCAAAAGTTATTTACTGTTTAAATTTTTATTAACAATTTTGAATAAAATATGTTACGATCCATAACAACTCGCGATTTAGTAAAATCAAATAACGATTAATACATCAAAGTTTTTCAAAATAAAAATATTCTACGACAATCAAACTGTTGAAAACTCTTCATGTCTTCTACTTTAATTCAGTGATAGAGAAATAGAAATCGAGAGAGAGAGAAAGTGTAAGAGGTACCTAAACTGAAAATTAATATTTTTCAATCGAACAAAACTTGTTACTTTTACTTTATACTATATACACTATAGAGTATTAAAGTAGTATATTATTTTGGTACTATTCGATTAAAAATAAAAATATTATTTCTAAACTCACATTTTGCAAATACATATGGTCTGAAAATGTTCGATTAATACTGTACGGTTTACTGTACGAATTCGAGTTGATAATAGTTCCAAGCAATTATATTTTGCCATTTTCCTTAAATTTTCTTCGAATACCAATATCAATGTCAAAGCCAAATCGTTTTATGCCAAAATACTGCGAGTAAGTAAACTGTAGCAGTTATATGTACATATATATACATTAGTATATTACGAAGAAAACGATCGAAAACGGTGCTATTATATAAAGGGTAAGCAAAGGGTAGGGTGTTCTTGGCGCGTTAGAGGTGGACGCGGAGAGAACCGTAAACGAGCGAATGCATATAAGGTGTGGGTTTTGCGTAAAAATTTTCCATGTCGTTATCGTATTCAGAAAGGTCTTGGTAGGGCGCAGGGAAAGGTAGTAAGAAGCGCCGGAAGAGAGGACGACTGCACCGGAAACGCAGATTTTATGATTCTAAAGACGGTGAAAACATAACATGTGTCGCCAAAGCTCACACCCTTCGCGCCACACCGCGATTCGCATTGGTTATATATATATATGTATTCAAAGATTTCTTCGACTCGCCGCCACCGACCCCCTTTCAAATGTGTATACCTATTCCTCGAGAGTGTGCGTGCGTGTAAATAGTATAGTTTCCACCGCCCTTACAATCAGAATAAAAACATTAAAGCGATATTCTTTCCGGCTGGCATTGCCACCCCACCCACCACGGGACATAAATGTCCACATATTGTGTGCGAGACGACTACTACACACAAATCCCGCGCAGCAGTTAAGGTGGGTGAAAAAAAAAACAAACGAACACAAATACGTATACGTAGTAATACGACGTGTATACCTATATAATATTATATAATATAGACCATATAATATCGAACAGTATAGAAATATCGAGAAAATAAATCGTAAAAAAAAAAACGACTAGGAAAGGATAGTTTTATCGACGACGACCGTATATATATATAGCTGAGCGATCAGAGGATTTGACCGCCGCCGCCGCTGGACCGATGTGGTTTACGTACATAATGTTATTTATTTCTTGCTGCCGCAGAGGCTTACTCGAGGATTTCACCGATAGCCATCGTTTTTCGGACCGATAGTTTAACCCGACGAAAAAGTCCAAAATTCATTAAAACTAATTTATATAATGTAGATACCTACATTACATAAACACACTTAATGGAAGATGAGAAAACTCGCATAATTCAAATGTTTGACAACGGGAAGAAAGTAATGGTGATTTTAATCATCGTTTGGTTGTATATTTTGTTCCATTTAAGCTTCATGTGCATTATTTCTAAAGTTGACACGCCATCAAAAATCTTTCTTAAAAATACATTTTGTTTCTACAACGAATGTAATATGCAGTGCTCTTTCTTAATGTAAACATCCTCGGTCATGTGGCCTTACAAAAAATTTTTCGGAATTGATTTGTTTAAACATGTTAGTAGCTTACACGAATGATTTCTGAAAATATTGACTGCAGGAAGAAAACAGGTATAATCGTATGAATTATGGCAAATCTATAGTAGTAATTTAGGTGTAAGTACCAAGTAGGTATAGGTATAGGTACTAAAGGTACTTGGTTTTGAAAATTAATTATGATCCTAGTTGATTTGATGTAGAAATACCTTATTATCTCTAATCGCATTACAAAAATAGATATCATATTAAGTATATAACCTACATTATATACTGCACAAGCCACAATTAAACAATTTAAAACGAGAGTGACGTAAAATGAGTGAGATTTAAAATAAAAATGATATTTGAGAATACGTAAATAAATGCCTACGTAACTTTCGATTATACCGTTCATTATTCCTTTCAATCGTCACGAAATTAATGTGATCGTTTTCAACAATATATATATTAGGAAATTTAATTTCTACTTCGCTCGTTTTCGCTCAATTTATTTCTAAACATTATAAAATATACCTACTACGGTATGTTGTTATTGGAATAACTTATGTATAGTTATATAGCGTTATAGTCCGCTCGTTCGAAATTAGATTGTGCTCAAAAGACGTAGGTACTGCACGTGGAACTCAACCACACTCTCGAAAGTCAGCGGTAAGCTCCGACTGTTTCTAACCAGAAATCCTGAGGCGATGAATACGATAATACTATAGTAATAATTATAACACTCGAAACACATTTCCGACTAATTATTATCATTTTGGCGGCCCCACACCCTTTACCGTTATCGCGCACAGCGTGAAATATTGTATACGGTTAGTTGGCGTGCGGTCCGCGGTCGAGAAGTATAGGGTCGATAATCCTCGCATCACCTATTATAATGTGATATAAATATACATATAATGCAATATTCTACTATAGTGGAAACCGTTCTCAGTTCTCAGGTGAATATAAGTATTTTTTATAAATTTTTTTTTTTTTGTAAAGGCTTTTAACTAATCAGGTTATACCTACAAACTTAGTAGCTAAAATATCTATATAAATATATTTATTACAATACATTGTGTCATGATAACGATATTACAAAATGTTAGGAAAAATAAAATTAACAACTTGATTTAGTTTTGTTTTGTGTTGAAAAAGTACAGATTTTAGCAGTGCTCTAATCATATTTCTCTAGTAGGTATATTGTATAGGTATTTGTTTTCACACACTCGTCGTTACACCTTTCCTATCACACACTAGTACACGCGGCCAACACAGCAATGTTTAGAGTATTTAGACCAAATCAAAGTGCATTAATTAACAATGTAAACTGTACACTAGTAATAATAATATTATACCCGCTCAGGTGTGTGATCGAGGTACAGTGTACTAAATTATAAACAGTAGTTTTACAGTCATTATTACTTCTCGCTCTTCAAATATTGCATAGTAATTTAATCAAAAGAAACGCGAAATCAATAAATGTCCGACCCTTTTTAATTTTTTTTTTTTTAATTATTCGCAAAGAAATTTCTTAAGGACTTAGTATTTATAATAGAAGGCGCTATTCCTCTCCTGTTGCTATTGAGAAAATATTTCGAATTTCCTGTACACATTATCATCGTCCGGCGTTTTCAATATATAAAATATAAATATAAAATATATATTATAAATATATATACATTCGACATTGTATTAAGTGCGTTCGGCGGGACACGCTTTAAACATTTTTTTTTTTAAACAATTGAGCGTAAACAAAAGAAATCAAAGGCGAAAACGCGAAATAGTATCGGAGAACAGACGACGACGTTTTAAAATGGAAAATATAAAGCGCATATTGTATAATATAATATTATGTTATGTACTTAAATATAATTGTCGTTTTTTTCCAACCATGTACTCGATACAATGGTGGATTATGATATATGAACCGTCGGACGTCGTGAAGTTGTCAGGTTAGAAGAGCGAGTTGACGTGAAGGGTTGTTGGCTGGTGACCGTCAAAATATTATAAATAAAATAGTAGCTCAGTCGCGGGGGTAGGTTGCAAGCCACCGATCTCAATTAAACAAGATGGTGGAACTTAATTTGTATTTTGCCATGGTCGATGAACGATAAATAAAATCTTGTGTGTATACTGTTTAGGTGAACGGTAAAGTGTGTACGCGAATAAATATACGAGCGTTTTTATAAGGCTGAAGACTCCAACTTGCAGGTAGATACAAATGCGTTTGCAGAACAGCGAGTTTACAAGAATCTTTAGTTGAACACAAATCATAATATTATGTTATTATGTTTGTATAACAATGAATAGTAACATACATTGTTGAAATTAATTGTCTTCAAGTGTTTACCAGTATAACGACTTAAATAGTTAGGTAAGTATCGCCTTCAGAATATTTTCACTTGAACTTCATAATATATATATATATTAATAACGAAATACGGGTGTCACGAAATAGACTATGCCTTTGAATGATGTATTTTGTACGGTATTGAGCCTTTTTTGTGCGATAATGTATTTTGCCGTACAATGCGATTACATACGATTATAAAGTAAAAATAAAAACAGAATTATTTTATTTATTTATTGCATGACTTGAGACTAGTTTTAAAATCAATATTAAATTCTGGTTAAAACTGATTCTGATTTCAATATTAAAATCACTAAAAGTGTTAATCAGTATTAAAAATTAAAATCGGTTCAAACTGCTGGGGTATAAAAAGCGTAAAGCCATAAAATGGACTAAAAAGTAAAAATCGATGTTTAAATCCAACAAATTATTGAAACTGGAAAACAAAAGCACTATCAAAGCCGGGACTTTTTTTTTTATTAGTTCCATACTTCGATCAGCGTAATTGTAATGGTTAATGGACGAAATCGAAATCGAGATAATAATAATAATAATTGTCCATAATCTACGCACGTAACCCGGACTGCATATACCTACAGTATAATAAAGGTAGTAATACTTACATATTATTAGTAAACTCACCCGCGACACAAAGTCGCTTAGATTTGTTTATTCGTAAATCATAGACTTACCGTCTATTTTTGCCCAGCTGTGCATTGCTTTCGGCGAGGTTTCAACATAACACTGAATGTGCACGTTGCTTCCGGTCGGAGCGGCCACCAGTTGATTGGTCACCTTGATCATCGGATGAACTGAAACACACATATTAGGTATCTCCTCAACGGCACGGTCATCGTGATAGTACGGGAATATTGGGAGATTATTGGCCACGATGATAATTATAACTGCAGTAAAGGTAGTAAAATATATAGTCTTTCAGTATAGGTGTGCAGCATGTACGCGAGTACCTATATGGCCGAGGCGGCAGTAAATCCATTGTTATTGCTGTTATTACCAAATTAAATTTTCCCCTAATGGACCGTATCGAGCAACAGTGGGACGCGGTAGATGCACAGACGTGTACACTGCACACCACTACGCACACACTTATACACGCGTATAAAAACCAGTATTAATACCCATAATGGATTTTCACAGAGTACCGCTGCCAAGTGTTTCCTTTTTACCGGGATGTTGTGTGGTGGCTTATATATATATATGTGTGTGTAGGTGTGCGTGTGTGTGTGTGTGTGTGTGTGTGCGCGCGTGCGAGCGAAATTTGTTGGTGAGGTTCGAGAACATTTCGAAGCAAAACTTACAGTGTATCTGAACGTTGAATTCCTTGCTGACCGTTGGTGGCACGTTGTTCTTGGCTATGCACAGGTACTTGCCCATGTCGGTCCGGTGCACGTTGCTAAGCTCCAGCGTGTCCCCCTTCACGATGGCCGACTCTAAGAAATACGAATATTTTATAATAGCATAGTAATATATAGGTTATAATAACTGTTTTGAGTTGATCAAGTACTGATCACATCGCAGTATTAGGTTAGGCATGTGGCAATGGTATTATAACAGTTTGGAAGTTTATACGTCATTTAAAACTATTTAACACGATTTAAAAGCCATAAAATGTCAAATTAAATAATAATTTGCTGAATTAATTTTACAGATTAAAAGTTTCCGTTAAATGATAATTAATAAAAAACAAGTTCTACATAATATACATTCTATTTTTATTAATAAGTAGGTACCTATATATAGTTTATTTGCATGTGGTTACAATATGTGTCGTCTTGTCGTCTTAAATTAATAAAAAAAGAATTTTTTTAATCGTAAATTCGATATAAATCATTAACAAAACAAAAAAAAGTGGCCAAGTGAGCAACTCTCTGCTGTACATTAGATGTCTAGAGAGTGACCTAATAATTATGAAACTTAGCATAAATAGATGCATTAGTTTTTTCTAAAATGTTTTCTTTGTTCGTATTTATATTTATTTTCTCAAAAATATAATACCATTAATAATTATTTACGTCACTATTTCTGAAGTTGGATTATGAAATTAATAATTTATACCTGTTGTGTATTTAAATAGTATTTGCACGGGGAATGGGTAGAGGAGTATCATATTATATCTATTGGTATACATGATATTCAGATGAAACACAGTCAGTGGCCAACTTGTGTGCAGTGGCGAGGCAATACTACCCGTCAGGTGTTCAGAAATAGTTGAATAGGTGGGGGTGACAAACGCCTCACTGACCCTTGATATATTATAAAAATATCTCATTCGATAGATCAGTTACGTCTTTTATGGGCTCTACGTATATATTATTGTAGACGACCATTTAAATTCTTTTTAGCGCAACGTGTTTTTATTAGTTTACAACTGCAATAAAGATCCACAAGAATAGTGCGTTATATAACTACACATCACTTTATTATATGTAAATAGTAAATACGAAGTGTGTAATACAGCTGTACAGGCACGTTTTTTTTTTAATACAATTTATTTTGAATTTACTATGTAAAAGAAAAAACCTGTACATATATATTAAATTTTAGTTTAAGTTAAAAATATATAACTGATATATCTCTCAACATCCACAATATTCTTCAATAAATACTGCCGAAGGTTAAATTGTATCCAGAAAAAAAATCAAAAACAGTAAAAAACTTTTTTTTAAATTATTTTTTATTATAATTAGCACTTAGTGCAAATGGTTTTTTTTAGATGAGAATTCGAAATATGTTTTATAAAAATTATTTTAATGCGTCTAGTAAAATTAGGTCTGATTGAAAATTGTGAAAATAAATTAAGTTTTTTATTTTGGTATATTAAAAGTACTATAATATAGATTAAATGTTAAAGCAATACAGTATAATACATTTGTAAGAGAAAAAACAATACAAAACAAAGTGAGATTCTCTTCACTCCATTGAACTGTTTTGAAAATGAATACATTTCTCGTTTATTTAACTTGAACGCGAAGTACGTTTAAAAACGATCGCCATTTGGATCGAAGTATTATTGCATTTCAAAAAAAAAAAAAATACCTTTAATACAATCGAGTGATAAATAATAAAACGAACATAATATATTATTATTCCAAGTATGCGAATAAAAGTCTTAGGGTTTGAGCATAAATATATGTGTGGGGCTGGCCTGTATTATGTGACAACGGGGGAGGTTATCGTGATGCGTACTCAAAACAGATGATGCTAGTGCATACCACTCTGTGGTGTCTGATAGCAGGGGGTGCACTGTGTCATATATTTTTTAGTTCGGTCAAGTCAAAAATCGCACATCGTTCACGGATTTTCCTGGTCAACTCGTGTCTATTGTAAAACAATGTATTATTCATATATCGATATAATAATAATATATAGAGAACGTCCTCGATCCACGTACATTCATGATCGGACTTTTAAATATATTATATATATAAATAAATATATTATCATCTATTCATCTGTATAAAGTGCAACATTAATAGTGGCGGCAGTAGTGTTGTATATATATTCATATAAATATATTTATAGAGAGAGAGAGAGAGAGAGAGTTGCTTCCGGTTCAAAGTTTTGACAAATAACAGCGGATTTTTATTTGCCGCTTGATATATCCGCGCACCAGCTCCGGGTGGGGGGTGGGTGGACGGCCGTGGCTTTCGGTTAGTAGCATGCTTGCCGCGTAGCCGTGAGGATGAATGGCGAGAGGGGAGGGGTCGGGTTGAGAGTGGTAGCGGCGGCCTTTTATAACATTTGTCTTTGTTCGTTACAAACGACTGATTTCTTATTGCTAGCCGCGGAACCACGTGGTTTAGGGGCAGTGGGGTCGGAACAGAGCCACGAATGACGTGAGGGGTGTTCGAGTGGAGGAAAGTGGTCTTTGAGACGGTCGCTGGGAAGGGGTGCAGAGCTGAGGGTGAGAAACAGTTTTTCCCGAGAACGATGTCGGGTTCAGACGGGGTATCGTTTTCTTTTTTTCCATTTTTCTCTCTCTTCTCGTGCTCGGCGCGAGAAAAACAGACTGCCGCGAAAAAAAAGGAAAAATAATATGTATATATATATAAAACATTCACTTATATAACTTTACAATGTTCCCTCCCTTCACTTTTCTGTTCTGGTTTGTTTTTAAACCGAGTTAATATTGTTTTGAAACTGAGCGTGAATTAAACTGGAAAAATCGTCTTGAACGCAAACGTCAAACTACTGTGCTGTGATGGTACACACCACCAGTCGCCAGTTGTGGTAGTAATAGTAGTCGTATAGTATTAGTATTGGTAGTAATATAAGAAGTATCAGTACTGTGGTATTATAAGTTGCTTACTCCATCGCGTTTCGGTGTAATTAAAAAACAATTGATATCATCATTTTCAATTTTTTTCACGTCAACCAAGCCCACGACTATCTCTTTGCCACCCTTTTGGTTTACACTATTATCATGGCGAAGGAATTCAAACGAACCGAAATAATGTTATGCCCAAACACGTATAAATGTGAGACGTGATTTGTGTGTTTTTGATATTAATTTTATAAAAAATATTTTTTAACAAGTATTCTTTGAATAATTAAATGTTGCATGAAATGACGATGTAATTATACGTATTTAATATCCTCCAAAATCTAGGTAGTTTACATTTTTTGACTAGAATACTTCCTTATGTTTTAAGAGACAATTTTAGTATATATAATAAATATATATAAAAGTATATTTGGGATTCGAATTAGAAATCGATGAATTATATATATTGAAGGCGATTCCAGTACAAGAGGGCCACAACTTTAAATAAGATGCAATTCAAGTGAATGATGTTTTTGAAACTGGGAGGTAATTCGAGTAACCTTTTTTTGAAAAAAAAAAGGAAGCAATTTGAATGTACTCATACATAGTAGATGTTTGATTTCTTGTCAACCAAAGTCTTTTGACCACAGATACCTTCAAGACATATATTCGTAATATTAACTGTCACTATATTACTTTTAGTTAAATTACTAACTTAAATTAAGTTTGAAATTTAAATGTTAAATATTTCAGGGCAAGTTTGTTTAATTAAATAAGGGTCTGGTAAGCATCCGATTCTAATTTCTGTTATTTTCAATTATAGGTTTGACCTAACCTAACCTGACCTATGCAATTGATTATTTACAAGCACAAACCTTGTTTTTCCCTAGCCCCGTCTGACCGGATGACGATGTGACGGTTGTCCTTGCGCTTCCAGTGAACTTTTGGTTCCGGTTTACCAGTGGACCGGCACCGCAACCGTATGGTACCACCTTCCATGGCCGCGCTACCCGGGCCCTCGATGTCTGCCTCGTCCAATATGTCCGGTGGGATCCGCACGTCCAAGTATCCGGTCTGGAATGCAAAAATGTTATGTTTGCTTACATTACGTGACATAAGAAAAGTAGGTGAAAAAAATAAAAACATACAAATTGTATGCGATATACATCGCATTATATACTTTATTATACATTATACCTGTTCAATCGATTCCCTAAAATTGGATTTTCTAGAGCGGTTTTAGAAAAGGTTTTCTCGACGTACCCATGCGGCTACACGTACCGTATACACAATAATAATAGTAATACCTATGCGTATATAAGTTGTGCGAGGACTTAGGACGGTAGTGCTCTCGCTCGCTAATATAACTATATTTCGATACACCGGGTTAGGTAGGTACGTAATGCACGTCTGTGTAATTTATTACGCATTATCAATTATACCATTAAACTATTAAAAAACAATATTGACTTTACACGTGTTGAATAAAATATACAAGCATGAGATATAATACCTGTATTGTATACCTATTAAATAGAATTTTACATTTAAACACAATCACGAGGTTCAATTCCGTGCCCCCGTACAGGAAATGAAATTATGCTGACATTACGTATTGGCGTCGGTTATAACGTAATTTTGTAGTTTCATATATTATGATCAAAGACGAGGCGGGCGTATAAGCAAAGGCACACTCGGGGGCGTGCTAAGACCTTAGGGGGCGCTTAAAAAGTTTCGAATTAATACTCCTCAGTTTCTATTAAAAAATTTGTTAAAATATTTATGTTTACTTGCTTTAAAAGTATAAATGTTTGCAAAACAAATTTGGGTCATTAAATCGAAAATATTATTTTACATAAACAATTACTGCAATATTGTTAACATTTGTATTTGGTTCGTAATTAAATTATTATTTATTTATCTGTTTTATTAATTAGCAAAATGTATTTTTCAAATTGAATGACTACATAGCATGAGGTGGACTATCATGTCATATATGATATATGTGGACATATAATTTAATTTTCCTCTCCTAAACCGGGTTCGTTCCGTCAAAACACAAGGAATAGTTGTATGTTTTTCTTATTCATATTTTTTAAACAAAATCTTTGTGTTCTTGAAACTATATAACGTCCATGCAACTACCGGCTGTCTTGGCGCATTATCGGCTTTTCAAATCGAATCAACTTTAACACAAATTGGATCAAGTGATAACTGATGATAATTCCGGTTGAAAATCCGTCATTCTTGAGTTCCTGATCAAATCGACAAGTAACTTTTTTCCTATAAATTATAGGTAGGTACCTAGTTATTTACTCACAAAACTACAAATTGCGATTTATGGATTTTCTTACTTGTTTAATTACTATAATGACGTATATTCCTTGTTACATTTTATTATTAAATATTAAGTCTTGCTGTCAAGTAAATGATTATCACATGATTTACATTAACTATTACAATAAAAATATTTGCATAATATTATTATCGGCTTTCAAGTAGATTAGTTGGAATTAAAATTAAAGTTAATGAATGAATAATTATAAAAATTAAATAATGAAAACTCTATATATATTATCAGTTCACAGGGGGTAAAGGTACGCGAGTTATTCTATGCGTTTATGGAACCTTCGAACAGGGGTACGATTTGAGTAATAAAGCTTTAGAAGGAGTTACCAGATAATGCTTTTAATTGACTTAACCTAAATTTTGCAATGGTTTAGTTTGAATGGACTTATAAGGGGAGTTGTTAGTTTGAAACTTGTAGATATTAAAAAAGTTTCATGAAATAAAATGGTTTGATTGGTATAATATTTTTATTTATTCAATCAAATAGCGGTAATATAAAATTAAAAGAAATTAAATAACGATAATGCATCGTTATTAATTATTCTAAACTCTTACTGATAATATAATGATTATTGTCATAATCTAGTTCTAAAATATTGAATGAATTTATATTTATATAAGCATATTATTATGAATATATATTTGATATAATTTACGATAAAAATATAATACCAAGTAATTTGTGTTATTTGATTTTATTTAAATATTTTAAAATAAAATTTAGTAACCCTTCCCTATATTGAACAGCTAATTTTAAAATTTATTAATTTATTTCGTTGTATTTTTTAAACATCGTAATTTAAATAGTAATTATTGTTCATAAAAAAAATAAACACAATTATACCCACATTTTATTCTTCGAATCATTGGGCAATTCTGTGTATTATGATTTATGACGGACTTATGTAAATAATAATATTCCGCATGTTTGTATACTGCCGATACAAAGTAAAATATAATTTCACAAGCCGTCGCTCAAGTTTCAACAAAAATGTAATATTGAATACATGTTGGTGAAAATAATATTTGATATAGAAAAGTTTTATTGATTACCGATAATGTCGAAAAATCGAAAAAATAAAAAACGATAATTTAAAAACGATAGAGTAAATGTAGGAGATTGAAAAAATATTATGAGTACCCACGTCCTACGTATATTGTGTATTCACGTAATGGATAATGGGTGGATTTCAGTACACATACAATTTTATCGTGTCCAGTAAATTCGAATATAAATATTTGGTGAGCATTTCAAGTCTCTGTAGTTATTAATTTTTTAATTAAAACAAAAAAACGAAATCGATTTTATTGAAAGCTGGTTTTACCGTAAGGGTGCCAGACGTCGGTATCGGATTTTCAATTTTCCTCAATTCTATGAAATTTGAAAATTATGTTTTATTTTTTAGATGCTACCTTATTTTTTAATGCTTTTCCACTAATGTAAAGTCCGATATCTATTTAGGGAGGAGGGAAGGTTTGTATATTGTATTATACCAACAAAAATGACTTCACAGGAAAAACTCTGACGCCTCATCGCCATGAAAATGTTGATAATTTTTTTTTATCCGAAATATGAGAACTTCTTGGATTGACTATGGATTACAGTCCAAATTTTCATATTACTTTAGTGCTCAAAAAATTATTTTGAAAAATAACAACAATTGTGGATTATTTATCAACGTAGTAGTTCAGCTTCTTTATTTATTATAATTTTGAAAATCGGGATTTGATCCGACTTACAAAATATTATTTTCTTTTAAATAAAAAAAAACGAACTAAATCCGACTATACTACAGGGTGTAAGAGATTTTCCTGTAAGACATGTTTTTGTACTAAAAATTCGCTGGCTCCGACACCCCTAATTTGTTTCGTAGTTTTTCTCAAATTTTTTCAAAAATACTGGAAGTTATTAATTTTGTCCACCCAAATTAACAACAAGAATCAATTGTCTACCAAAAACCGTTCTTTAAAGTAAAAACTGAATACTACTTCTAAAAAAACACTTTCCTTAAAAAAAAAAAAATTGAAACATACACCACAGTAAGACCAATGCATTCACCACTTTGTAAAGAATCTTAAATTATTTGAATAACATTAAAATAAATGTATACATATCATGTTTAGCGGGACACCGCATGCATATCTCGCGGGCCGTGGCAAGTGTTCACTCTTCATGGATAAATTAATTTGATATTTTGTGAACATGATGTGTTGATTTTCAGAGCTTGTGCAACATTAATCGGTGTAAAAATGTAAAATACATTCCGTGGGTGGGTATATGAAAATATTTTTTATTTCCATAGTTTATCAAAAAAAACATTTACTACATATTTGTATAATCTTAAACACCATATTATTATCTACAATTGAACATGATACACCATACTTTTACTTTCCCTACCAGAAGAAATTTTCTATTTGTTTCATATACAAACACAACCATTGGTTTGAATAAATTCTAGGTATTATTTAAAATGGAGGTCATTTAATCGCATTAAAAAAATCAAAATCAACCTATTATAATATTTTACATTGATAAACAGTATAAAGAAAAAGCAATGAAATGTATTCCAAGATATCTAGGGTTATTGGCTAGGATTAATAAAAAATGAATATTTTTATGAACACAATTCAAACACACACATTTTTTCTGTTTTGTCAATAAAATTGATAAAATTGATAAATTGTTTTTATCCTGAAATATCTGAACAAGGTTCAGTGTACACAATACATTTTTTTATTTGGTAATTTGATAAATTACAATAAATTACAAAATTTTATAGCAGAAAATCGATTTTTAGCAGAAACACCGAATCGTACTGTTGAGAACAAATACCAAAACCATCGAAATTACAAGCGAAAAAAAAACTTATAGAAAAAACCAACGGTCAACTTCTTGCCCATTATTCATTCGCATAAAGCGACGATAAGTTTTTACCTGATTATAGGTATTATATCGCAACGTGTAAAGCTTTATCCATTGTAAACTCCAGATCATTTGGTGTATATAGAAAAATTGTTTGTTGTGATTATTTATTTAATATAATTGTATTTTCCATCGTGTTGAAGTTACTCAAAAAAATAGGCTCAGGTTAGTTAAAAATAAAAAAACAGTGCTCTCTATTTCAATGAGTTCTGTTGCACATTTTAAATGATAAAATACCCGTATCACTTTTTAAACATGATAAGACGTTGCTCCTGCTGCAGTGTTGCAGTTTCGTTGGATTTTATGAACTCGTGCATAATAATATGTGCAACATACAGGATCATCGATGAGCTTACTATGATGACGTATGAATATTGAACATGCATAATGTGTTGTAAAACGCTAAACGCGAATGCCCTAATTCATGGCATATCGATTTACACTCGAATATTATTCGATGGAATCCGAACGTATTGCCGAGTTTTGATGGGAGGTTCAAAATGTAGGGGGTGATTTAGTAAATCACCTGGTAAGCATATTCACCCTCTGTGTTTAAACCTATTATTTCATACGAGAGAAACACGTCTTTCTGTAAATTATTAATCAGATATTCAGACGACGTTTTTGAAAACGATTATGTATCTGAATCAAAATTCAAACTAGTATTTTTTTGAGTTAGGTATTTGACTTTTGCGCTAAAGATAATAGATTCATAATAATGGGTTTGGAAGATGCTTTAATATTTCAAACATTTCAGTAATTATTATTCTATATTTATCTATCATAATTTGTAAAATAT